GTGCAACATTGTTGCATTGAAGACAAAGTATTATGCACCTAATATAAATTCCATTATGGAATGCAATTAGGGAAGTATATTAATAGTGGGTTTGTATTCAGTGCAATTACAGTTGTTTTCAGTGCAGCATTGCTGCACTGAAAACAAAGTATAATGCACCTAATACAGATTCTATTATGGAGTGTAATTTTAATTAGTGTAAAAATAGTTATATTGGATTTGTATTCAGTGCAATTACAGCTGTCTTCAGTGCAGCATTGGTGCACTGAAGACAAAGTATAATGCACCTAATACAGATTCCACTATGGAGTGTCATTAGCAATATACTCAAGGGCTTTTGTTTTCAGTGCAATTACAGCTGTCTTCAGTGCAGCACTGTTGCACTGAAGACAAAGTATAATGCACCTAATACAGATTCCACTATGGAGTGTAATTATTGCCGCATAAAAAAATTGCATCTAATAGGGTTCCTATGAGTCAAGTGGATAGAAGATATGTCTTCAGTGCCATCGGGTTGTTTTTTTGTTGGCAGTTAACTGCGTTTTGTGAAGCAATTGTGTGTCCAAGATGATTTGTCTGCAATGGTTTGGGCGTCGGTGTGTGTTTCAGTCAAAGGCCTTATGGCCGGAATTAGGACGGATGCAAGCTGTACACTCATGGAGGCTTTACGTATATCTTGGTTCTTAAAATTTTGTGTGATGATGTTGACTGAAGCACGGAAATCAGAGTAATTAGGAATTCCTAATCTGTTTCAATCACTGCATACGACTTTGCAAGTACACGGTATAGGCCAGGGTGCGAATATTTGCTGATGTTCTTCTGCCTCTGACCTGTGCTGGTGACTGTCTCTGAAGCAGTAGTGGCTGCAAAGTTTTTTCGTGAATGCCTGCAAGCACCGCTCTTCTGAGGTATCTTTCACTTTCGACTTGCTGCTCCACCGTGTGATTGGGGAGTTGCGGCCTCAGACTGGCACTCCCCTTGCTTCCGTGGTTCTGCTTGAGCCTGAATGATTGTCATCGTTTGCCCGGCCTGATATTGCATCGGCCCCAGCTGCCTGAAATTCCTTGTGACGGATCGCGTGCTGTTTTGTCCTTCGCCATGCTCGGCTTTGCCATTCGGGACGACGTCAAGGCGGCCCAGATGCAGCACTACGAGTTTTTTTACTCGCCCGAGGCGTGCTTTGTCGCAGCGGCAAGGCTTGAAGCCAGAAAGCGGCTTGATCGAAAAACGTGATTCGGTCATGTAATTTCTTTAGTTTATTGGCAGTCTGGTAACTAAGGCTGGACTTGAAAGTCAGCGATGCCCTTCCGCCGATGCCTGAGAAGAAGACGAGGAGGAAGACGAAGACTGCGGAGGCTGACGGTGTCAGTGTGTCGGCGGCCTCCGGCTCCAGCTCGTGGACTGGTTCCACAAACATCATGAAGTTCATGGGGTGCAGCACAAAGTTCCTTCGCCTGACGGTCCATGACCCAACGTCGGCTATGACGGACAGGATCATCTCGCACGTGGCGACTGACGGACGAGCGACAGGAGCCCCTTTGTTCCGAGTTCCGGTTCAGACCATCTTGCGTCCGCCGCCGCCGAAAACAATGACCATGGATTTCTTCGAGGCCAAGCTGAACGTGCATGCGGGAGAGTACATCAAGACTGAGGATGATCGTGGGCCTGCCGAAGGACAGGGAGTTGTGGGGTTGCTGAAGCTGAAATAATTGTGATCCCTAATTAAACGACACAGTGGCAGCCTCAGGGCCGTGGCATTTCTACCGCCTGGTGGACTCCAGCCTGAACATGTCCATGTCGAACGTCTTGTTTCGCAACACACCCGGGAATACACGGTCTGAGAAGCCCCACGTGTACTTCACCGGCTTCAGCGGGCCTGCCCTCCTTGCGTTTCTCATGAGTCGTGGGAAGAAGGCTGAGTGTCTTGGCCAAAAATTAAGGTCTAGGTCCTGCGGCCGCTTGCGGTCGCCCGAACCGCACAACGATCCAAGGGTTCTGCTGTATGAGATGTTCTTCAAGGAGCTGCCTGAGCAGCTGCAGCTGACTGACTGCCCCCTTGTCGCCGCCCGGCAGCACGAAGACACTCTCGTCGTATCGGGCCGTTGTTTTTTTCCGCCACTTGCCACAGGACTACTGGATCAGCCCTGGTCAGATCGAGATGCAAAGCCTGAGGATGTTCAAGGCCGAGGTGAAGCTTGTGGTTTGGTCTGAGAAGAGCATGAAGGAGATGTTGGTCTCCAAGCTTGATGGGCAGATTTCGGCCACCATGAGCCGCCTGAGAAGTCTGAAGCGGAAGAAGGTGGACCTCATCAAGGACGGTGCCCGCCTTAGTCAGACATTTGATTTGCGCCTTGGGCCATGACAGCGGGCTTTTCGGCTGAGTGGGACATTTGAAGGTTGCATCCCGGAGTTGGACGACGAGCCTGACAGCGACAACTCCAGCATGAATGATTCGGCTGAGTAGTAGGCGAGGCTGTGCCGGCGTTTGATCTGAGACGGCAGAAGCACCCAAGATCAGTCTGGAGCTTCCGAGCTTGCGGTTTTTGACATTGAATGAGGGAGCCGAAGAAAATACTTGTGTTCGTGTGTGCAATTTTGGAATGCCGGCTGCACAGCCTGAGTGCCAGTCGCACCCAGGCCCATGTCCAGCAGAAGGCCTGGAGCCAAGATACCCGTTGGAGTTCCGACAGAACGACACTACTTGTTTGCGGCTGAGGCCAAGAAGTCCTGCTTCAAGCACGGGGATTCGACGTCCGAAGGCGGAAAGGGTCCACGTGCCCGGGTTGAAAAGTCAAGGGAAGTTTAAGCCATGTAACCCCAGGGCAGGTTGTCTATGATTATCATAATGTCGCTGTCACCCTATCAATATTGTCAAAGTTGTCCAAATCGGTTGGGGATTTTTAACTTGCCAGTAGAGGATTACACCACGATATTCACGGCTGACCATGCTAGTCGTGCTCGCATTTCCAAAGCAACAGTGATTATCCATCTGATATGTCAAGCAAGAGCGTGCAGAGTGTTTTGGACAAACATCAGAAAATTGTCAATCTCGTAGCCCTTCGAACAGTGGTAGCTCCCGGAGCATTATCTCCTTACAAAATGGCCAACAGCAGAAGCTTCGGACATATCTTTCCGTCATGGGTGTGGTTGCCGTGGTTCCGTTAGCGTGCCGTTAGAGTCAGACCCGAGGTGCAAAGACTGAGTAAGCTTCTGCAAGCCAACCGCTCCCAAGTGGGGAAGGCCACTGGGCCCAGAGAATTGACCTCTGCAGGTCTGAGACTGGACGTCATGGCGATGGGTCCACGAGGAGTGGCTGCCTAAGAACTTTCGACTGGCCGAATAAAAGTTTGTGAGATAGTCGTCGGGTCTGCCTAGCGTACAGAAATACACCTCGGCCCGGGGCCGAGGCGTATTCCTGCACACTTGGCTCGGCGTACATCAGATGGCCTTGTATTGTGTTATTATGACCTGGTATAGATGTCATCTTGTCGCGGTGTACAAGAATACACCTCGGCCCCGGGCCGAGGCGTATTCCTGCACACTTGGTTTGGCGTGCAACTATCTCACAAACTTTCTTTCAGCCAGTTAAAAGTTGAACGATTGACCCTCGCCTCAATCGCCCTGCATGCCTGAGGTACGTTCTCTGTTGGCCCTGGATTTCCGAACAGCCGATCTCTTCAGAAGGCCGGGACTGTCGGCTGAATCGTTTCAGAAGTCGGCTTGGCATGATGGGTTGACCACCTCCTCCCCGCAAGATTGCGGCTTTGAGAAGTCAGAGAAGACCGGGAGCTTGTTGAGGCGGCAGTGTGCCGCTCTGCCCCGGCTCTAGAGATTGCGGCTTTGAGGGCCGCTCTGCCCCGGCTCTAGCGAAAGCCATGGCTCCCAAAACTGGCCGGACGAGTGGGGCCAAGAAGGCGGCCGAGGCAACTGCCAAAGCTAAGGCTGAGGCCACGGCGGCTGAGGCTGCCGAGGTGGAGTCTGGGGACTTTGCCATGGAGACCGGGCGTGAAGCCGTGAAAGAGGCCCTGGACTTTTTGAAGAAGAAGAAGCTCTTTCCGGCTAAGGCGGAGAAGGTCGGCACTCACTCCATTCTTCCAGATGCCTGGCAGGGCTCGAGCCTGAAAGAGGCCGGCTGGCTTTAGATTGTTAAGAAGTAAGACTGACTTGAGATACCCTTTTGGCGGTTCGGTCTCGTCTGACAGGCCTCCACATTCTCAGCGAGCCTGAAGGACGTTTCTGTGGAGACCCTGGAGGTGCCACCGCCTGAGGTGCTGTCTGAAGCGGCCGAGTATTGGTTCGAAGGGAGGTCTGATCAGACCTCCCTTTTCGTGTCGGCGACGGTGACGTCTGATGAGACCAAGTCAGGCGAGATCGTGCTGTCGCCTGAGGACCATACCAAGGTTGCGGCCTTGGTATGGGCCTTCGGCAAGGCGGCGGCTTCGTCTGACAGCGACCTCTGCGAGAAGTACCGCCGCCTGAGCAGCCGCATCGTGATCTCCATGGTGCGTGGCAAGGCGTCTGACCAGGCAGGGACCGTGGTCAGTCTGATCCAGGCATCTGAGGACATCGGCAAGAAGGCTATGGAGTGTTCCAATGCGATGCCGTTCAACCTCGCCTCGCGTCTGACGAGGACCCCGGCCGGGGTTTAGTAGTGACTGTCCCATTGCCAGGATCCGTAGTAGTGACTGGCTTCTTGCCAGGATCCGGGCCGCCTTGTCAGCACAACACAAGGCCTCCACTCACGAGGAGGTGTTCTTGTTGTTGAAGAACATCCGCTGGAACGGCGAAGCCTACAAGGCCCGGGATTCCTGGCCTGAAACTCTTAAAACCGAAGCCCTGAACCCGACAGGTGAAGACATCTGACCAGGTGCAAAAGCTCACCACTATGCTTGACAAGACGAAGGCGGCCGGCATGACTGAGTCGATGAAGGCGTGCCAGTATGTGAATAATTCGACCACGTGGTTCGGCAAGTGGAGCATCGTCACTCGCGTGCACCTCGTCCTATGAGACAAGAATCTCAGCACACACACACACACTGCATGCCGTCAGATACCAAGGGTCAACAGCTTGAAGTCCAAAGAGGAGCAGCGTTTCGTCATGTCGCTCATCTGTCAGGTCCTTGCCTCAGCAGCCACTGTCGAACCTCAGATCTTCTTGGAAGTTCTGCCCAGGAGATGCGGGAGGACAGCAGCCTGAAGGACCATTTGGGTGTGTCCCTGTCGACCAACACCCACATGCGTGACTTGAACAGGGACCAGGCGATGCAAGCGACAGGGATGCTGCATCTTCGCTTCGTCGTGCTGGAGCGGCTGAGCCATCTGCCCATCCCGGACGATGCACTTGACAAGAAGACGGCCATGGATTTTCAGAAGTCTCTGCAGAGGTGTCTGAATCCGAAGGAGTGGGCTCAGCAAGGCGGCTTGGTATCCGTCGCGGCCTTCAGCGAGCCGCCGTACTGCAGTCTGAGTAAAAGGATTGCAGGAATGCTCCGGGGCGATGACGATGAGCTCTTCAGCACTGCTGTCACTTCCGGGCAGAAGGCGGGTCCGTGGTTGTGACAGTGACATGGCTTTTGCAAGCCAGAAATGATCAGCTGCCAGGAGGAGTTTGGACCCATCCTGGAGCTGCTGACCAGGTACAGCGACGAGTGGAAGATGAAATTGGGCCGTCTGAAGCCTGAGCCGCCGCTTGAGACCAAGCCTTCGCGTGAGCTGCTGCCCGAGACGGATCCGACGACTGATACGTCTGGGACTGGGACGACTCGCACGGCTGAACAACTCCGCGAAGTGCAGCTCAAGCGGGCGGTGGAGGCTGGAGTCTGTGTACAGTGTTTGCAGCGAAGCTCGTGTCCTCCGTTTGCACGACAGGAGGAAATGGCCTTCTACATTCACTTCTACCAAAGCGACATCAGGAATCCTTCCGCTGCCTGGGCTGATGCTCTGAAGCAACATCAGCTCCTTCAGAAGGACCGTGTCCGATGCATAGACCAGGCTCTTGTCAGATCTTCTTTGGTTGCTTGACAGGCTGAGCCGGTGTTATTCATCTTCGACTCCTCGCTGGTCGCTGAAAACGGAGGCTACAGCCGCGTGCACAACGTGTACCAGCGACCGGCCGTCTTCGAGCGTGGCCTGTACGACAACTGCTTCCGAGTGTTCGAGGCGGCTTCCAAGGACGAGGACAGAGACAGAAGCTTGGTGCTTGGATTCAATTGTTTTCCGTGCATGACAGGACCGCTGGCTGACCTTTGATAGCGGCGTGCAGAAGGCCTCGAACACCATCCTCAAGTCTTTCAGGAATCATGGCTCGACGCCCCAGAGCATTATTCTGATCGGAAGCGAAGAAAGTGTTCAAGGGCGGAAAGACTACTTGCGGTCTGCGTGGCTTGGCCGCATGTTCTTGTGTTTGACTGCAGTTTCCTTTTTTGGCTTGGCCGCCTGTTCTTGTGTTGACTGCAGTTCATGCTTCCAGCCAAGGGAGGAGAGGAACTGCAAACGGCGGAAGACGGGAACCGCTGGAAGTCTCATCAGCATCGCCGGGGCCAGGGAGACAATGTACTTCGGGTGCAAGTCTGACCCCCTGCCTGCCAAAGAGCACAAATGGCTGGCGACTGATGGCGTGGTGAGCACCGCCTGTCCTGTCTCGGACTGAGACACGTCTGGGAGCAAAGTTTAATGACGGAGCTGGGGATAGGGAATCGTTGCTCTGAGGTGCTGCCGAACGTGCCCTTGCCTTCGCCTGAGAGCCTCATCCGGGTGACGGTGAGCCAGAAGAAGGAGGCCAGGAAGTCGGATATGTGCGAATTCATCCTGCTGTAATAATCGGTCAGGTCATCCCTTTGGTGTGTGGAAAGGGTGTGACCGACAACGGCGGCCAGGTGCAGGGCTGAGCATGTTGGGACGGCTCAGGCAGCACTAGTTATAGTTTCGGCCCCGGGAGGTGGCACCGGCTGAGCACGTGGAGGACACCGACACAGTCCCTCTGGTGCACTTCGAGAGGAGCTGCTGGCTGTGTCGCAAGTTTGAGTCCATTGTCTGGGCCGGTGAATTGAATTGGCAGGAGCCCACAGGTGTACCGGATGCTGCTGCACACGGTCTCGCCCATTGCCTGTGTCGTGAACTTTTCTCCGGGGTCGGGGTGCCTGAGCGTCGTCGCCGCAGAACAGCGGGTGCCCTGCATCAACGTGGTGAGGACGCCTGAACAACGGATGATGCTCCAGAGCATCATCCGGCAGGAGCTGGCTGGTCGCGTCAAGAATGCCAACGACCAGCGATTCTACCGCGTGCCTGAGCCGCAGAGGGCTGAGCCTGAGATGCCGCCTGTCTCGACAGCGGTTGCCTCGCCCGCGGTTCCGGTTCCCCCGCCTGCGACAACGACGGTGCCACCGCCTCAGACAACGACGGTGCCACCGCCTGAGAAAACCACGGATGTCTCGTCACCGTCTGGTGAGTCTGACAGCAGCTCAGGCGAGGACGTAGAAAAGTAGAAGGCCATTTGGGTCCAGTCTGATGGAGCATTGCACTTTTAACCATGCAGCTGAAGCCTGAAGCACGTCCAGTTTGAGACGTGGACCCAGCAGATTGCACTTTTCGCCCTCAAGGATGGCAGACGAGGTAAAACACCCGAGGATTGCAGAAGTTAGTACGTGATCTGTCAAACAACATGGTGAAGGTGCGACTTGGTCAAATCTCTCAATATCCGCAATTTTTGTGCTCGGAGTCTGAGTGCCGCCATGAAGCGGCCTGCCAAGAGGCAGGCGACCCAGCTGCAGAGGGCAGTCGCTGCTGGCGTCGTCAAGAAAGCCGTGAAGCCGTTCGCCTTATTTTGCCAGCAGCGTCGCCTGAGTCCACGAAAGGCGGCTAGTGCCTGGCGTGACTTGGGGGACAACGAACGAAAAGAATTCCTGGCGGCGTCCAGGCTTGGCTTCTCGAACCAACGGCAGGCAGCAGAGAAGGCAGGCGTTCGTCTGAGAAACTCTCAGCGAACCGACCCGCCTGTGGCACCTGAGCCTCTGTTGTCTGACCGTGCTCCGGACGACATCACCTTCGGCGACTACATCGTCTGTGGCTCTCAGGCCGGGGTTGGACAGGGCGGCTACGGCGGCATCATGAAAGTAAGGCACCGGGTTTCGCATCGCATCTATGCGGCCAAGGTCAGCAACACGAATTTCCACCTGTCTGAGGAAGTCGCCTTGCTGAAGCAGCTGGCTCACGAGACCTTTCTGCCGTTGCTCGCAGAGTCGGTGGTGACTGAGGATGAGTTCGTTCCCGGCCAGATCTCCTTCATGATCATGCCTTACGTGGCCGCGGGCTCCGTCCTGCATTACTTGCACAACGTTGGAGCTTTTGATGCTGAGAAGCAGTTGGCCCTCACCCATCAAGTGCTCGCCGGCTTGGCCCACCTGCACAGGAGGACTGAGCATATACACGGTGATGTGAAGCCGCAGAACATTCTTTATGATCCATTGACAAACTCCTGTTTCATCATCGACTTCGGGATGACATACCGGCTTCCACTGGCAGAGGATTTCGTGGAGGACGGGGCAGGGGTGTACACCTATGCCTACCGAGCGCCTGAGGTTGCCAAGGGCATGTCTGAGAAGATCCTCAAGCAACTTTTGACTGTGAAGGCCGATGCGTGGGCATTGGCCATGACGGTTCACCAGGCAGCTACCAAAAAGGCCTTGTTTCATATGAGCCCCTGGAAGGCAGCGGAAAGTTTGTTGGAATTGTTTGATGCCTGCAACCCGGGCCCGCCTGACAAGAAAGCACGGTCTGTCCTCAGACTGAGCAATGCCAGTCGGGAGGTTGCCGAGGAAGTCCGTCTGATGTGGCTTGCGATGGCTGAACCGGTGCTCCAAAAACGCCGGTCTTGCCAGCAGCTTGCAGAGGAGCATGGCCTGCGGTGATTCGCGAAGCATTGCAAGCACAGTAAAACATGCAGAGCGACGTTGAAGTGGCAGACGTGTGCGTCTCTGCTGGCCTCTGCACGTGTGTGTGTGTGTCGGTGTGATCGTGTGCTGCAATGAATGACAATGACGGCCTGGACAGGTTCCGTTGCGTGCAGCGAGATGTGAAGCAGGAGCCCCAGCTTTGCTTGATACTTCAAGGCACGGCAGCCTTGACCTCTGCTGCTGACTGTAGGTCTGGGTCAGCATTGCGGGAGCAGTGCAGTCAGTCACCATCTCAGTCTCTTGCACCGTCTTGTCGGATGACCTTGGATTGTTTGCCGGGAAGCATACGAAAGTTGCAGTTCGGGCTCCGAGTGCTAGATCCCAGTGTGCACAGCCCGGGCTGCATTTTTGGCATGGCGGGCTCAGGCAGGAAAATCTGTGTAAGTTCTTCTCGGGCTGCTCTTCATGACTATGAATTATGCTGTCTTCCACGTTTCCTTGATGAGGAGCGTCTGACATCCCGAATGCAGCGACTGCTGCGGCCATTAGTCGGGCCCGGGACCTGAAGTAGCCGGATATTATCCCATTACACGACATCGACTTTGCTTCTTTCGACCAGGTGGATAATCTTGTGAGTCTCCTGATGCAGAAGAAGGGCAAGACTCCGGCCACGAAGTCCACGTATGGATTGGTGAAGATCAAAGAGGGCTTCAAAGTGAAGGGGTTGGCCGTGCAGCACCACAGCGGCATGCGGGACCTCTTGAAATTCATGATGCAGTCGGCACCAGAGCAACTAGACATGCAAGTCCGGACGATACACAGACAGATGACCGGCTGAGTGATTTCAACTGCCTCCTCCAAGGAGCAAGATCACGACGTTGGATATACTGTTTGACCCGCCGAATCAGGTGCAAATGGCAGGCTGGAGTTGCAAGCGACCGGCTGTCTCAGTCCCCTGTCGCCCCCGTATGAGGCTGGTCTGACAAGCATGACGTGGTCTTGTTCCCCTGCGGGACTCCACCTTCGCCTGAGAAGGCTGACGAGCGTGTCGGCCTGTGGTATCATCGGGTAGCCGAGAGCAAGGGAATCTTCGATGGTGGCTTCTTCCACAAGGCCGCTTTCGAGCATTTGCACCTGCAAGGGCGAATACATAATAAGAGACACTCGTCAGTCAAACTCTTACTTGAAACGTGCAGAGGTCGCCACCATCCCAGGCCATATGGCCTTTGTGTGCCCTCGTGCAGCAAGAGGTCGTGTGTACCTCTTGGGAAGGAATATCATCCAGAAAGCAGAAGATCATCTGTCGCCTGAGAACAAGAAGGACCTGGAATGCATGGGGTTCGCTGCGGAATATGGCGGCAAGCTCTCCAAGCCGACCCTCCTCACCCGTGGCCATGTGATGGACATCGCCAGCCCCCTGGCCGAACTGGTTGCAAAGCCTGAAACCTTGTGTCTCTTGCTGAATCTTCCTGCCTGAGGACAGATCTACCTCAAACACGTGAAGAAGACTGTGCCTGTGCGACAGGGCTCGAAGCGGGCTTACTATTGCCCACACTGCAACCAGGAGGCAAGCTTGGGGACACTTCTGCGGGAGAAATGCTTTTGTTGTCCTGGGCAGGTGGAGCCTGTGAGCAAGAAGTCCAAGAAGGAGAAGAAGGAGAAGAAGAACAAACGTGACTGAGCCGTTGTGTATGCAATCGCACAGGATTCAAGGCCCAGTCTGAAGCATTTTCTTTGCGGTGGGTGTTGCTTATTAGAAACAGCACCGCCTGAAGCATGGGGCTTGGGCAAGTTTCTAGTCTCGCCCTGCAGAGAGACGATTAGCAGTCGTGGCGCCGAAAGTCTGTTGCATCGCTGAGTCTGACAAGGCAGCCTGAGGCATGTCATCATGAGTATCATGAGCTGCATAACAAATCCGATGCAGAGGCCGTGTAGGCCCAGGCTTGATCCTTAGGACGGTTGTAGAGAGGCATGACATCAGTAGAAGCATAGCAAGTCCGATGCCAATGTATGCGGCATGCACCTGCGACAGTCGTGACAATAGTTCACAGGGCCTCCTAGGGCAACAATGGCCGAGCGTATTGCCGAAGAGAAGCATTTGCGGCGATGCCCCGCGACTTGCCTTCTGACCATGTGTGCCTGCCTCGCCATGTTCCTGCAGTGAATCCTTTCTTGACTGAGGAAGGCAAAAAGCATTGCAACGAGTGCCGGTGGATAGCACATGCTGCGGACTGGAAACAGCGGTGTACTTACACCATCAAAGGCGGGAATCTTGCGAAGGCGGTAAGACAGGACGAGCGAGTCTGTCATGCCAGGTTCGACCAGGTCATGGCTGATCCGGTCTGATCCGGGCACGAAGTTCGGCATCGGGTGCTCAGTCTGCCGTGAGTATGCCGCAGCCCTCGGCGGCAAGGAATGCGTGCCACTGCGTAGTCGGCCTTGGATCGAATGCAGCGTTGGTGCTGGACTTCGGTGCCTGGGATCGCGAATGGCATGGCATTGACAGCGGTGCATGGTGTGCTTGAGGTTTTCTCTTCTCGTGCTTCATGTCAGGTGTGGCGGCAGACCGGCTGCTCTTCAAATAGAGGACATGCTTCGGCACGGCGGCCTGAAGCAGAATGCCAATGCCCAGAAAAGCAAATTCCACCTGGCTGCTGTCCGTTTCCTTGAAGGCAAGGCTGAGGACCACGATGAAGGCCAGGGGGTGGACGAAGATAAGACAACCGTGAAACGGCTGGTCTCGTCTGATACTGGCGGCCCCACAGCCGCCCAATGCTTGACGGCACTGGAAGTTCTACTTGCTGGAGGTTCCGGGCACGAATACCAGAGGCGGTGTCTGAGCAACAATCGCACAAATCCGACTTTATGGCCAACGGGGCGTTCGTCCCGAGGAATGTTTTACAACATCATGGAGGCTGCGGCTGAGGCCGCCTTCAACGTGGACCGCCGTCGCCTGCAGCAACCCGTTCGGGCAGTGGCCTTGGCTGAGGAGCCGAATGCCAAGAGTAGTATCCATGCCGGTTTTCAGTGCGTCGTGTGTTGCAGGATGCAAGAGGCGGCTTCGAGCTTTTGAAGGTGCGGTACGTCATGGCCGACTGGTCCGTTCATTGCCGCATGCTAGACCTGGCCACGGCTGAGAAGGCTGGGCAGCACGTGAGCCAGGGCAGATCGGGTTCCAGTACAGTAGCCCTGCCAGCCGAGGCCGCACTGGACAAAGCCAGATCGCTGCCTGACACCCTGGCCAGCTTCTTGCCGGAGGAAGCCCTCCGGAATGCTTTCAAAGACAAGATCCGCATCTTTATGGCCGACGGGGAATTTAGCGAGCCTCTGGCGGCACGGCTGAGTAAAGTGCCTCGCTTGCAGTTTCTGCGGATTTCAAGAACAGCATATTGAATGTTTGAAGGACCGCACCTTCACATGAGGTCCAGGGAACCCTGCCGGGATTGAAGGCGATTATGAGATGCTCCGTCCATAGTGGACAAAGGTCGCTCGAAAAGGCCTTGTCGTCTGACCCGGATGTGCAGGGTCTTCTCCAGAGCTGGGTGCTTGGATTTTCCGATGGCAGTGGGAAAAATCCAGGAGGATTTTGCAGGGCTGTGCGAAACTCGCTGAAGCTCCAGCGGCTGACGGCAGAGAAGCAGCTTGAGGGTGTGGACGAAAGCCTGAGGCGATTGTGTCACTTCGGCTTTGCACCCCAACGTTTCAACACCGTCTGCGATGCTTGCGTCAACGTGGCTGAGAACATAGATGCGGTCTGCAATGTCCTGAGCCATCTCGCAGCGGTGGATGATGCACTGTCAGGCCACTCAACTGATCGTGCTCGTTCATGAGTCCCCGTGGATGGCGAGGCCTTTGCTTAGCCGATGTTTTTGTCTGTGCTGTCTGAGGTTGGGCCACTAAGCTTCTTCAACAATGCTTTCAGCCGGAGAAGCTCCTCCAACTTGGCTTGATCGCGGAGCTTGCCTGTGCCGCTGCGAGCCGCGACTGCAGGAATCAGTCTTGTTTGCAAGTCTTCTCTGGCAAGAGATCCAAGGAAATTCAACCACTCACTGGACGGCCAACATCTGCGATTGGCTGCGACAGCCCACAATCTTCAGCAGCTCGAGCGTCTGATCAATCGACTCTTCGACTTTCGGAGTCCGGCAGGAGAGCTGCAGCAGCCGCTGGTTCTGGATGATGCCTATGCACATGGCTACGTGCAAAGACTGCAGGCGACTCTAAAGCTTGAGCAGAACAAGTGCCTGGTTGTAAAGCAAAAGATGATCTTCTGGCACAGCGGCGCCAACAGGAACAAGATACGTTCCTTCGTGGCCAAAGAACTCGGTGCCATTCGCAACATCGCTCAGCTTTTTGTTCAAGGCCTGAAAGCCGATGTGGAGGTTGGCGTCCAGGCATCGCTTTCTCCGTTTGATGTCAACCATACCCTGTGCAGCGACGAAGCTTTGCCAGAGCCACAGGATCCATGATCTTCTGTGCGATTCTGCTCCTGTAATAATCACCGCTACTAACATCCGATGCCAAGGCCTGACATCTTCAAGCCGCTAGCAGAGGCTGCACAAGTGGAGGTCTGGAGCCCACACCGCTTCAGCGGGACCGAGGCTGTGATGTTCAACCGCTCAGGTGACACAGCTGGCCAAAGAGTTCCTCTTGGCACGTCCTACAGCCTTGCTGGTGAAGTCACAGCCTCCCGGCGACAAGTCTTTTCTTCGGAGGCCCTTCACTCCAAGACGAACAGTGCATGACTGAGGACCGGAGGCGAGGATTTGAATGAGATCTGGTCCAGGACCATGCGGCATTGGTCTGACAAACTCCCGGCTTTGTCTGAAGCGGCTCCTTACCTGCCTAGCTCAGTGTCTTTGAGCTGTGGGATTAAACGTGAGACGACGAAAGCCATTCTGTCCTGAGGCTGCCCTCGTCCTGAGTTGCTTCCCGAGCACCGGCGAGATTGAGCAGAATTTCAGCTGGCTGCAGCAGTTCTCGGAGGGGAGAAAGGGCAAGACTTCGCGGGGACACCTTCGGCAACTCGGCTCATGTCAAGTCCATCTTGTCGTCCTGCATGGGACCAGAAATTTGAAAATCTTCTGCTCTCAGTCTCTGTCGAAGTGCCAGGTCATTAATGAAGGTCCGCCTCGACGGGCCGACAGCCGACCAACTCGTCTGTCGCGAGCCCCACAGCATCCTCCCGAGAAAGCCGTGCCTGAAACTGCTGCAAGAATACCGTCGCCTGTTTGCTCCGAGCGGCGGCTCGCAAGGATGCCGCAGCTCACTGGGTCGTCGGGTTCTGAACGGCCGCCTGAACCCGCTTTCAAGAGCTGGCTTGAAGCGACAGCGAGGGCTGGAGCAGCAGCAACTCTTGCAACAGGCGCCGGCGGAGTCTCAGCCTGAAGACCTCGCTACTTTGGAGGCTGAAGCCGGCGAATCAGCCAAACGTCGCAGGACTGACAAGCAAGTTAGCCTGACTGCCGCCCTGGAAAAGTACAAGACCAAGAAGGAGGAATGGGCGACACTTGATGCTTCGTCCGAAGCAGCCGCTGCTGGCCGCCTGATAGAAAAAGAGCGGGAGGCTGAAAAACGCTTCGAGAAGCTGAAGAAGATCGGCGTGGCCAGACTTTCAGCCGTGCGGTCTGACGTCCTTGCGGCCGACCGCGACCGTTTGATCATGGTGGTGCATGGCCATGACTCCAGCAAGACACCGGGCCTGCCTGATCTTGAACGACTGGGCAATGCTCGTGCTTGGCCTGAGTCGATCGAAGACCAAAGAAATTTGGTTTACGATCTGCTTCGTCATACATCTGAGGACTGCGGCAGTCATCGACTCCTCTACTGGGTCTGCTTGTCTGACGAGGTCGAGCGTGACTTCATCTTCAAGCCGTCTGAGAGTGCTTTCTCGGCTGTTGCTCGCCACTTGGGAGGCGGTTTTTGCGGTCGACAATGGGTGCAGGCATGCATGGATGAGGGCCGTCTCTTGCCAGCCTTGACATGTCTGAAAAGCAGCTTGACGACGAAACAGGAGCTGTGCTTGCATAGCTCCTGTATGTCTGACGACTCTGCTTTGCCCGCAACTCGGATGCTGGGAGCTGTTCTCGATGCCGCGGAGAGGGCTGACATTACAATTGCATGGACACGTCGCAAGAGATGGCGAGATGTTACTTGCAAGAAGTGTTCTGTCATAGTCGACGGTGAGACGGCTGAGAAGTACAGGAAGAAGAAGCAGAGGCATCGGGGCTGTTTGATGACAGTGTCTGAATTCATCGCTGCTAGCAACACGGCTCTATTTCGTTGGCTTTCGCACACAAGCTAGGTCATGAGTTTGCACATGTACATATATAGTCCTCTACTCAGGCACGAAGTGGACTGACACCTGATACCGCCCGATGCTGCCTGAACGACTGAGCGACGAGGCCAAGGCTATAAATTTCATCTTGTCCAGTCTAACTTGTTACTTGACTTGGTCAGGCACTTCCACACAGCCATCGAGTGCTTGAACGGTCGGCGTGCACCGGCTCCGACGGCTTCGTCAGGAACCTCGCTGCAATTGTTATTTCTGTTGATTCCTGCCCTCACGTTCTCAGTGATCCTAGGTACCAAAGATGATGTGTGGCTTGCTTCGACAGCAATGCCGCCCAGTCGCACTGCTGTCCCTTTGCTGTGGGTTTCCCTGCTTGCTCTCGACTTTCTGAATCCTAGGCAGTCGTGCTCTGCCTACACGGCCTGATAGCTGGTGCAGGGGTGGGGCTGCCTTGAGCGCCTCGGGGATGTTTCCTTAAGTGAAACAGTCTGAATTTCACGACGTCTGATATCCATCTTGCAGTCGCGACACAATTATCCTCAAAACATAGCTTTCTATGTGATCTCGGCTGTTTCCACGGAAACTCGCTTTGTAGATGACTGATGAGTTTGGGGTGGAGCCGGGGAGACCAAAAAGTGCCGTCGCAGATCTGTCTGAGAAGTTGTGCTTGCATCGGCTTTGCCACTGTCCTGCTTTGCTTCGGCGCCTTCCGACCGCTGAGGTTTGACCCCGGCGGCAGAGTGAGTGCCGAAGCCTGAAGCCTGAAGCATCGAAGCCACAACACAACATCGCCTGACAAATCACAAGCTAAAGCCTGAAGCATCGAAGCCACAACACAACATCGCCTGACAAATCACAAGCTAAAGCCTGAAGCATCGAAGCCACAACACAACATCATTCTCACCTGGAATCGAGCAAGTGATGCGTGGAAAGAAGTGTTGGACGTCGCCATGATGTGCTGTAGATGCTTAGTTTCCGGTATAAAAGTTTCAACTTTTATCGCCCGGGCCTTTCAGCCAGTAAGAGAACGAAGGTTTTTCATACTACAAGTATGTCATATATGTCGTCTATCGCACACATGCAAACAATTCGAGCTTCGATGAGTATGTAAGCACGCAGTATATAAACAGGTTATCAATCTCCGTATATGTCGTCTTACTACAGTACTGTTAGTACAAACCGGGTATATGGAAACACACAGGTCTGGCTGGCGAATAAGGTGGTTCAATTGAGCCACAATGGCTCCTTGCACAAAGTTTTATTCTTCGGATAGCAGGGGAATAGCAGGAGCATAGTCTCGTCTTGCCAGGCACAGAACAATGGTTTCGTAGATTTCGCTTCATTGCTTCGGTATCTTTGACGAGGCTGTAGGCCTGTAGTCATCGTAGAAGAGGATCGGCCACACGGCCGAATATTTACTCAATGACTGCAAGCATGCGTGCTCACAGCGGGCATGCCTGAAGCTTCATCCGCCTGCGGCAGGGAGAGTGGTAATTTAATTGGTTGTAGGTGAAAATCCGAAAAAGCAGCGGGCACTATGTCAGCCTTGAATGCTACGCTGGCGTCGTTCGTTCGAGAGCACTTAAAAATCGATTTTTCCTGTGGACCGCCTAGCTTCCTCGCCGGCACTGTCCGAGTTGAAAGAGTGCACCGGTGGAGTGGCAGCACCGCCAAAGCAAAAGGTAGGCGCAGTCCGGTGCTTTCATGCGTGATCTATCGGTGGCTTCGCCAAACGCAAACACCCAAGCCAGGTCCACTCGAGATGTAACAGTGTAACATTTGCGTCTCATTCACTACGCCAAAGTGCCTTCCCCAGACTTAGATTCACCCCAAGACCTCGCCTGCAGCGTCGAGCGCGAGTGCTAAAAAACATTTGCGTTTTGTGATTTTCGGAGTGCTTGTGCGTGCTTGTTCTGACATGAGCCGGTGGAAGCAAACGTCAGGTATCGTTGGACTGCAACTTCCCGTTCGTGCAGCAAACGATTGGCTTTGACACGGTGCGGTTCATTTGTTTGTTCGGTGTTGCAGCATTTGCAGCAACAGGACAGGTGTCCAAAGTTGCAGACAACCGAAGCAAAACTGGCCAGGTGACGAGAACTCTGTCTGCCTTCATTGGCACGATTGGGAACTTGGTCAAGACCTCGAGGACGCGTTGTGGCGAAATTAATGCCGAGGCATGTAGCAATTGCTGCAGGAACATGTGGATTTTCGTCCGCACAATGGGCTGCTTGGCGGCCTTCTATACCGTCTCTGCATTGGCAATCAAAAGAAAGTGCCCAGTCGTCGGTGTGCGGCTTTGTGGTTTCTGTTTGTGACACAGTCTTGCAAGAAGGGCACTGTGCCTTTGCGAATTCATTCTGGGGCTCCCGGCCAGAATCTATGCCGACAGAAGCCGAACCTTCCTTTCAGCAAGGCAAAGATCTGGTGAATGCTAGAGGTCATCATCCTCTCCTATGCTATCCATTCACCGTTTTTCAGCTGTTTTTCGTGGAGTTCTTGCCGGGATCGTGAAGTGGAACCCAGGCGTAATTTTTGGTTTTGCACGCGCTTGCAGTTGCAATCCAAGCGGACATGAGCCCTCCAGCAGATTTTGACACAATGCCGTCTTGCCATTTCATTGCGAGAAGCATCAGCTTTGCTCCCACGATTTCGGACATTCTCGTGTGCGATCTTGGCAGGCATTGTCCATTCCTAAATTTTCAGAACAGCGCAGACTAAACACTTGGAGAGTGGGATGTATCTTGGGTATTCTTCGGCGGGTCTCGAAGTATGAGAACGCAGGCCTTGCAGAAGCTGGAACCACCGCGGATTGCGACCCTGTAAGCTGCAAGACTACCGCCAGCTGAGCTTGGAGTGGTATACTGTATGGGTGGAGGTAGCACGGCAGTCTTCCAAGAAACGGGTTTTCTGAATGATACGAGAGTCTTATTGGGTTTGCAAATCCAGGTGATGCTTGGTCACACGTGGCAGCCGTGGGCATAGACGGTAGCAAAGGGCACAACCAAAGTGGCCCAGGGTGGTCCTGCACCCTGCACTCAGGTGCAGATTGCATTGCAAACCCATGTCCACATGGCAGCTCTGCTGCAGTGGTCGCCTGCAATTCCACACAGTCTGCTTGGTTCGTCTGCCAGGTTCTTCTGTCCGGAAGCCAGCTCTTGGGCCAGTATCTGGTCAACATCGTCTCGTTGACAGCCGAGATAAACCAGACTTGAACTTTCGCCCGCAGTTCCTGTCACAGCAAAGACTTCAGGTGCCTGTGCGACCTAATCGTGAAGCGTCATGATGCAGGCGTGATGCGCGGCAGCTTGGTGCCTTTACAGCTCTCATTGGTTGTTGCAGTCTGTCAACTCGAACAGATATGAACCTAGCTTGATGCACATCCTCGGACGGTGCACGGAGGTCGGGCGTGTGAAGATACCACAGGTCACGAAATCTCAAACGGGCAGACTGGCTTCTCGCTTCTGGTTGCATTCGAATCTCACGCAAGTTCTCAGTCCCTGGATCTTCATTATAGTAGCGGATTAGCGCATCTTGAAAGCACGGCCAGTCCAAGGCTCCAAGGAGCAGACGAAGCACCTCATCAGCGCAAAAGCGGAGGACGTAGTTCAACCAATGCGCATGACCAAGCTTGAAAATTCGGCCAACGTCGAAGCTTGCAAACTCCGAACTCCAAAGCGGTCTCCAAACTCTGCAACCTTTCAGACTCCACACTGGTTGCCTCCATGCGAAATCAGATGTTTAGGTTCGAGTCCGAAGAGCCAGACATCGGGCTTGCGTGACCGCCATGCTGCTTGCGTGCTTGTGCCAGGTGAGGACTATGGCATCATCATGCTACCTGTGGGGCTCTTGCCCTAGAAAGTGTTTGGATGATGACTTGCATGACGGCACACCAGGCGGCAAGCGATTGCAAGCGTCAACATCGTGCAGCTCCTGCAGGTTTGTCAACGACATCCTTGAGCTTCGCATCTTGTTTTCCGAGCTGATGGAGGTGATGTCCAAGGACCACTACGAGCAAAGCCCGGGTGCAGAGTAACTTGAGCGAGTTTCGGGGCATTTCAATGCCCGAGACTCGGCCAAGGTTGGGAGTCCATTCCCAAGATAGCAGCACGCCTCAAGCCAGCGACTGTTACGAACCCAGCATGACCGAGCCTTGCAAGCTTTGAGAACAGCTGGGAACACAGAGGCTGCTTTGTTTGACGTGATCCCACGGGATGTTCAGTTCGAAATCTGCTTTGGTGGAAGAGAGAGGTGGGTGCGAATCACCGGACCGGGGCTCGCAAGCAGCTTTGCTGCTCAAAGAGGTACATGAACAAGATCGACTTCTCGACAATTTCCACGGATCGGCTATTGCTTCGCTTCGTGCTGTCCTGAGTCGAGAAACCCTGAGGCCTGGCCCGGAGCCTGGCATGGCGGCATCGCTCAGGTGGAGATGGAGCTCCTCCGACGCCGACAGCTGGGTCACATCTCCAAGGACAGTCACGAAGCTTTGACCCTCGATGTCTAAGGTGATGTCCTAAGTCCTAACTGCGAGCTTCTCGTGTGTCAAAAATTGCAGCCTGGAGTGTCGCATGCATCCACTCTCAGCTTTTCGGCTGCGCAACGGACGTAGCTTAGCCATGTCTTCGCACAGTCCGCCATGCCTGAGGCTAGGGCACGACTTGCTTGGGTGAGCGCTTTCCAAGCTCTTGAAATGCATGCCAGCTCCCCTCAGGAAGACAAATGGTCCGCAGTGCCCCTTCTAGCACCGACAAGGACATGCTGTGAGTGCTCCAAAGTGAGTATTGACATTGACGAGCTCCTCGCTTTCATGGTGAGAGAGTGGTCGGATACGAGAGCATAACTCGTCTCAAGATGTCTCAAGCCCAAGGTGCACATCGCAGGATCCGCGAGGAAGTGCGTCGGAAGCATTTGCACTTTCATGGTTGAAGGACATCGTTTGTGCTGCTCCTCCTTGTGATCCTTGTCTGTGAGTGTGTAAAATTTAACAGAGCAATCTACAGTTACCGAGCAACCACGATCAACCACTTCCCCCAACAATCCACACTGAAGCAAACATTCCTTTGTGACGTCAAGCCGAGCAAGTCACCAGTCTTGAGCTGATGCCTTTCGGCATCAGAGCATTCGATAATGCATCATTTGCATTGGGTGCATTCTTGGGATTGTTGCGTTTAACACACTCCGTTGATCCTGACTTTAGTCGGGGATCATTCAAACAGTTTACCATCATGCACGGCAGCAACATTCGGGTCAGTGCCGAAAACAGTGGGAGCAGATTGCACTGTACAACGCAATCGCAGGCATTCGGGCTCATATCATTCACATTGAACCCGAGAACTGCAGTTTACACTAACCGCAGAGAACGTCCAGTCAACATTTCGAAGTAAACAGTACATTGCCAAAACATGCGGCATTCGCTTAAGCACTCTTTAGATCTTTCGCCGGCTCAGTGCGATCTCACTTCACAGTGGTTTTGGCAAACTTGCGGCGGACATTCTCGGCACCGGGCTCGAGAGCATTCGCGGACTGAGGCAGGGCGATCTTTCGAGCACTTTGCCTGGGTCGAAGCATTCCAGGCATTGGCTGCTTCGCGATCATCTTCATTCTCATAGAGCTCATCCCAGGTGCTGCAGTCGTGCATCAGTGAGCCACCATGGGCTTCCACCAGTGGCACCATGGTTGGACCATCAGTCGCCACTCGACCAGGTTACAACGTCCAGGCAGAGCCGTTGGTTTGGGCGAAGGCGGCACATTGGATCATTCAATGGCATGCGCTCACCTATACTTTCCCTCGGCGTGGACTTCAGTCCAACGGAGTCCAGAGACACAGTGCAATGCGGGGAGTGCGCGGGCCATTCCCAGGCGGATGGTGGTCGAGGAGGAGGAGGAGGAAGCCATTGCGCATTATTCACTGCCGGAGACATCCGGAGCAACATGATCAATGATCATCATTGTCATGAGCATCAGTGGCGGGATCCTTGAACCAGCCAGAAACCATTCCCAGTTCGGTCTTCAGGCGTTGTAACACATCAGTGGCAGCATGTTTGGTCATTAGATCAGCGGGGTTCCGCGCGCCATCAATCTTAGCCATCCTCAGTAGGCCCATTTGGCGCAAGAGTTTGGACACTTAGAAATCTCAACTGAACATGCTTTGTTTTCATCCCAATCCCGAAACGGATCACCATGGATCTGCAAGCTGTGCTGTCAGTGTGGATTGCCAGTGCCATGCACAACAGCAGTCGCAGTGTGACGAGGAAGGTGTTTGTGTCCTCTTCACTCTTCTCGACCTCAGCGTCCTTTCCAAGGTACACTCCGGTGAACCATGTGATCCAGCCTTGGGAACATGCACCTTTCCATTCACGGGCACGTTTGCATCAATCAGTTCGACAAGCATGCACAGTGCTCCACCACCGAGGGTGGAGGCATTTGTAGGCAGTCTTGCCATCAGTCCCATGTGAACATTGGGGATTCGGAGCTCAACTTCAAGCCAGTCGACTCTTCAGGTTCACTTGGAACCTTAAGCATTCCCGGCTTCAATGCATTCGACTCCTGCTCAGCATTCTTGCCTGCATTAGGGCGATCAAGCCTAAGCGGCACGAACAATGTGTATCCAGTCCACTTGTGACCACGAGGACCTCGAGGGTCCTCACATATCTTCACCGTACCATCGGACATCTCGATGTCAGTCCATTCAATTTAATCGTTTTAATGTCATGATGGCACTTCATTGCATGCCCGACGGCCACTACAGCTTGGGCTAGAATTCACCAGGATGTATTTTGACTCCCTGCTTCGTGTATTCAGCCATGCAGGAGGCAAAAAAAATGCCAGTATCGACCAATTTCAACGTTACTTGGATCGAAAGACACTGTGTGCCTATCACCCCAAAGACAGGATGGCTGTAGCAGTCTCGACATGCATGGTGCAATCTTATCCAGTATCGAGGAAGAATCAGCCAACGGTCTGCGCTGCAGTCTCAGGATCCTCGAGATTGAACAGTTGCAACAATCAACTCCTTCATTTTCGCACCATGCTTCGGAAGATTTGACACACTCGGTGTCGGCAGTGGTAGCACCGCAGAGCTCAATGCGCCAATCACCAAACAAGCTCCTGCGAACAAAGTCGTCATCAGTCCAGGCTTTGCGGCATGAACAGTCTCACTCTGATTCGAAGGTTCGACAGTCACTGCGGAAGCATTCGGCGGCCTGCTTGGCGGCGTCCTGAGGGACACTGAGTCACGAGCTCGTGGCGCCAGCCGAGCTCTGCCACGTCTCCTGGCTCCACCAATCCTGAGTATTCCAGGACCAGTCTCAGCCAACAACTCCAGTCGTCATCGTACCAGGACCACACCGGACCAGTCATCAAGCGAACCAATCCAAGACACTGAACTCATCTCCATTCCCTTGCTGATTCGCATCTCAGTCACAGCTGACATGTTGCCTTGTCCTTTCGGGCATTCCTTACTGCAGTGGTTTAAGTCGCCACAAGGAAAGCATCATTCATTGTCCTTTGCCTCTTCCTTTCATTCCTTTTCCCTTGCCTTTGTATCCTGTACTCCTCCCCTTCCGTTGTCCTTTCTTTCCTTTCATTGCTCCAATGTCCATATCGGTTTGGCCTTGATTGTCAACTCTGCCACTAGGCACAGTCAAGCGTCTGCTCTTTATGTAGCTATACAGAATCTCCAGTGCTCCATTAAACGTGTTGATATTACGAACATTCAACCGCAGATGTTGCTGCACTGGACCGACAGTCATCTGCATTAACAACGTGATCAAGAGGTCATTAGTGGCCTTCTAGTTGTCTTCTCATGCCTGTTCTTCAGAATTATGGACTCACTCAGGTCACTCTCCAGGTGGTCATTTCTCAAACGAAAACCAATGATCTCATTCAGAAGATTCGTAGCTCCCGCTCTCTCTGGCAGTGAATGACAACTGCTTGTGCGGTCGACGCCATATCTCAAATCCGTTCTCTGTGTCCTCATTGCGAAGAATCGCTCTCGCCGCGCCATCTGTGATCTGCGCAAGCATAGAGGCCAGTGGCCTGGAGAACAGTGACAGTTGATCATTCTGCGTTCTAGCCTGTTGCACATCAAATGCCTCACACAAACCATCATCAACCACTCGCCATCATCCATCATATTTTCGCAATTGGCTTGTACAGTCCGACATATCGCTTCAGTTGCCACGACCAGTCTTCCCACTTCTCCGTGTGATCTCACCTCCGATTCCTCTCGCTCCGAGGTCCATTCCCTCACTCCCTGGTTCCATAGCGCAAGCTCCGTTACCATGCAAAACTCAACAGAACAATCTACAGTTACCGAACAACCAGGATCAACCAACTTCCCCAACAATCCAAGCCCAAGCAAGCATTTCTTTGTGACGTCAATTCGATCAGTCACCGGTCTTGAGCCAATGCCACCGAAACCAGAGCATTCTATATTGCATCATGTTCACAGGGCGCATTATTGGGATGGTTACATGCAAAAGTGAGTGAGTGAGTGAGTGAGTGAGTGAGTGAGTGAGTGAGTGAGTGAGTGTGTGTGTGTGTGTGTGTGTGTCTCTGTGTGTGTGTGTGTGTGTGTGTGTGTCTGCGTGCGTGCGTGCGTGCGTGCGTGCGTGCGTGCGTGCGTGCGTGCGTGCGTGCGTGTGTGAAGCCTTGTTACCAAGGGTCAAAGAATCAAAAAGTAGAGGGGGCCGCGGTCCTGCCGTGGTGTGAGCCGGTACTAAATGAGAATCAGAGTCGAAACAGGAATGGGATGCTGAAGCAGTTGGGATGAAAAGCGAGGAGATGTAACTGCAATGAGTTTGCTAACTGCTAACCCATATTATGGTTTCGGCTATATTGGGCTATATCGAACGCCATTCCAAGTATGTGAACCGGCTGGTTGTTTGCCTGTCATAGTGCCAGTCGCGAGGCTCCAGCTTTATATAGAACGCTCGGTGGCGAGAAGGATGAGCGCAACCACTTTCCAAAAATACTCCCCTATATAAATTCTGAAAGACGTCGGAATAGTGTCCACTTGCGTGCTTGCCTGCCTGGAACATCTTCTTCATACCGAACTTGTGACCAGCCATTTCGCCCACATTACCAAACTCTCGACCAGCAATGCGCATGTTCTTCTTCATACCAAAGTTGTGAGGGTTGATCAGCTGGCAGGAGGGATAGCGTCGCTGCGGTTCGGCCTGCGAAACCTTCAACTCAAAGAAGGGTATGGCGGAGCCGCCTCTGACCTGCGAAGCCCCATACTCGCCAAGCAGATGACACAAGATGCGAAGCAAGAGTGCAAAGAAGAAGATGAAGGTAGCTGCGGCTTGGCTTGCGAAATTTCCATGCGCCAAGCAGAGAAATTTCGGACAAGTAGAATGAATACCCGAAGACGATCCTTCGACAGCAAACTTGCAAACAACAGCCTCAAACTTTACTTCAAAAAGCTTTCGACCCCCATTTTCCTGCCAGCAAGGTTCTGGACCAACAAGCTCCAGTATCTGCTGTTCCGCAGTCCACATCGAAGTGGATTGCGAATTTAAATTTGGAGCCCAAGCTCAAAAAAGAGCTCACACAAAGCGGCATCTACAACAATCAAGTCCCTCTCGGACGAGGAAAGAGAGGTCCTGCCACAAAGGGGAGCTGCCAAGGAAGCTGATCTTCTAAAGATCGTTGTGGCAGCCTGTGCTTTCGCTTCCTGATTAGAAGCTCAAAACACTGCTCTCTCGTTGGACAAGCCATGTCGTGAAACATTGCAGTTCATTCTGTCACTTTCGAAGTCTTGTTGAGAGGCTGCCATCACCTTTTCGGTGTTGGTTCTTTTGCTCCGCCAAACAGGCAATGGAAAGATGGCTCGATGGCGCCAAAGACTTCAATCCTTTGAAGAATTTCGAGATGTATCGGCGAAGCGTCTCGCTACCTTGCTTCAGCAGCCTTTTGCTGTGTA